ATTTAATGAACATCGCTTTTAAAAAAATTAGACAAGTGAGGATGTGGAATTAAAAAAAATGAGAACTTAGTTTTATAAATACAGAAAATTAAATGAATTTAACGTTGATTGCATACAACTGAAATGGGAGAACCCAGAAAACAAGTGACTCCTTTTTTTTAGTAAGTCCCTTTCTATATTTGGTAACAATTCAACTTTAGATTTTTCTTTTTACCATTAATGAGATAATTTCTAACCCAAAAACTTTTATGATTTATTTAAGATTACAAGTTTCAAAAGCCTTCCTTTATTTCATAAAATCCATATCCAGTCAAATACTTTCATACAAATTGGGACGGAGAGAGTATAATTTATGTTAGGAAAATAAATAATAAGTTAGATTATTAGATATAGTTACGTGACCAACTAATGAATAGAGAAATATAATTAAGTAAAAAAAATAAAATAAGATTGACAGAAAACTATTTTAGTTATATTAATTAGAGGAAGAAATCGAGTTATTAAAAATTAATATGACAATAAAGAAATAAATTTATCAATAATAAAAGATAATTATATAAATAATATACTACTATATATAAAACAATACTAGTAATTTTGGGGCCCTTAAATAATTGGGGCCTAAAGCAAGTGTTTCACTTGCTTTAGGGTTGGGCCGCTCCTAATTAGATCTATAGTATTGCTAATGACATGGTTTGATATGTATAGTTATTAGTTGTACGTAGGTCAAAAACACTACCAAACTAGGGATTAATAATATCAAAGCTAGTACATTTAGTATTATTTTTCTTAATAAGTCCTACCAAACTTGTATAGTTTGTGAGTAGCTTTTATTTTCAGATATAAATCAAGTTAAATTCATAGTTTAGCTCGAAAATAATCAAATTAACACTCTATAATAAGTAACAAATAGGATAGGTCTGAGAAAAATGGGTAATCTTCTAGGTCGGTGTGCAGAATTGAAATCTGGAATATATAAGTCAATAAATATAGGTGAGGTACTATTACATTTTGTGACACGCATTCCAAATTTAATACGTATAACAATTATACGTTCTTATCATTTTATCTTATAGCATATAATTCAAATTCAAATCAAACGACATTAATTAGTAAGAAAAATGAATAGATGAAAACGACTTTAGATGAGATCTTAAAGTGACTCCAAATAGCGATTCGAATTGATTCTTCTGTAAATTATGAGGTGAATTTTCTTATCGAAGGTATCTGGATTTGAATCTGATTACACCAATCTTAGTACATGGGAATCTAATGGACGGTGGGATCCACTTTAGTTGCTAAAGTTCAAGGGATCCACTTAGACAACTGGCTTTTCAGTCATATATACATCTCTCCCCCACTACGATTGTCCGTTTTTGTTTTGTTTATTAAAAAATAATAAATATCAGGATAGAGACATTGTCATAAGTACGTAATCAGATGATAACCCTTTCTATTTTTTATTTCTTACCAACATAGTGCTCGTAATGTTTATCATAACTCTTTTTTTGGTCATATACAATGATTGAGATAATTCTTTGTTTAATTTTCCATATATTCTTTGTCATGCACTAACCGCTTATCAGTTTAGCACCTTTCATTTTATATCTACTTGAGTTGAAGTTAAAAGAAAATTAAAACACGACTAATGTTTAAAGAAAGAACTGAAATTATAGACTTTGGCATGGTAAAAAAATTTAATTACAGAAGAGATCTTTGTAAAATTTAGTTTCGGTTAAGCTATCAATAAGATGGGGTAGGAGCGGGGGTCCAAATAGTACGAAAATAAACGAATAATTATTTGTCACAGCTACCTTGTATTCGTGTGAGAAGATAATCAGATTAAAAGATTTGTAGAATGTAAGGGGTGTTTAGATGTGGCTTTTTAAATGTTTGGTGATTTTTGTAAATATGGTTTCTAGTTCTGTTCTGTAAAAAGAAAAGGTTTCGAAAACAAAACACATCTTTTTTATAGAAGAAACAACAATTGTACCTTGATCTTTTTTGTTTTTTTATTTTAAAAAAAACGCAGTCTTCAGTAAACTTCTCTACTGAACATTACCAAAGCTATTTCAGAGAAAATGTCAATGGTCTAAGTCTCTTTACCTATGTAAAGTAGGGATAAGATCTGTCATATTGGGTATTCCAGAGAAAATGTCCCAACTTAAGCCAAAAAGAGATGTCACCTAATTGTAAGTAACTTGAAGATAAAACTAATCGGTAGATACTCTAACAGATAACAAAAAACTCCAATTCTTAAGTAGCAGCTAATTAATATATAGTTGGAGTGTGGTATACGAATGATGTAAAATATAGATGTTTTTCAGAAATTAGTTAAACAATCCAAAATTAAGCTAATCTTTTTTCATGACTATTTGGAGACAGGAGGTTCAACGGTTCTTATACCAGCAAGAGTTCTACAAGCTCTTCAACAACACTTCAACCACATGGATGTTCTGTCTCAATCAAACACATGTCCTGTCTCCCCTACTCACCTTCCCAAATACGGTAAGTATATTGCAAATTCCTTAAATTACTTTTTAAACTCGAGTTTAATTTATATACAGTGACATTGTAAAGTTAATTATAACTATTACTCCAGTAACTACTATTCACGGTAAGTCTGATATTATAACATAGAAAATAAAATGAATAATCTGTGGGAACTCAAGTAGTGTTGTGCACGTTTGGATCATTAAATGATTGATAGATTCGAGATTTGATAACAAAAAGAGTGGAGGATCTGTTTGGTCTTGAATCATTAAATGGTTGCTGCATGTATTCAGGATTTGAAGTGAATTACTACATACTAGTCAACAAAAAGATTGATTAAGTGATCTCTTAGTTAACAAAAAATCATTATGTTATTTGCTTGCAGATGCAGAGAATGAAACTGAGGGATTTGTTTGGAAAGAAAATCAACATTCAGAGGACCAAACAAGGAGTGCAAGTGTAGTAAACGACCAAGAGATGCAACTACCTCAAGAATGGACTTATTGAATATTGATGGGTAGCAATTACATCATTTAATAAGGACAGACAAAAGTAGAATGAGACGAATATTCTATTCGTCAAATAATATTGGAATCTTTGTGTAGAAAAGGGGTTGGAAAAGAGTAATAAGTAGTGAGATTGAAAGTGATATATATGGGCTTTCAATGTCACCTAGCATGGATGACAAATAACAAGTCTTAGGTTGTACTTGTATCATAGTGATATGGCCGGGCTTGTTCGTTAGAATATTTATACTGATGGATGTCTTGTAATAACAACTCAACAAGAATTGGAGGTGTGATATATCCAATTCAAGAATGTAAAAAAGCTAAGTGCAAATAAAATTGTTCTTCCTATATATCGTTGGCATTTAATCTAGTTTTCCTTGCTTGTTTTACTTATATATATTAGAAAAACTGACGAACATAAAAGGTTAAGTAATTGTATACACTTCTAGTGTAAAAGTTTTTATATGAATATGTGACGGAAAGAACTTATTAGAATTGATGTATAATATCAATCCATATTACTGACGTAGTATGACTAAGTGATAAATTGAGATTGAACATATATTACTTGACTAATAAACCATATATGAAAATAAATGGAGTACTATTTTTTGTGGTGCACATTGCACACAGGAAGTTTTTGCCTTTAAGAAACCAAGGACAAGAAACTAGCTTAACCCTTTTCTCTTCGTTTGCGTTGTCATATCGTAAGTGCAGACAGGCTAATCAATTAACAAATGCCAGCTACTCTTGATTTCGACAAATGTGATGAGTGTTATAAAATAAAAGCAACTTAGTAAAACATAAACAAGACATGTTGTTATGAAATAAAAGCAATTTAGTAAAACATGAACAAGAAATGGAGATAGAGAGAAGGAAGAGATTTTCTTCTTCAATTGTGTGTATTTTCCTATCTATTACAAGGCCTTTATATAGGCATGAAAAGTGAAGAAAAATATGTCATTGAATATGTCATTAAGCATAGAAATATGTCATTGAATATGTCATTAAGCATTTGAGAAGATCATGGAGGAAGAGTAGACATCCACCATAATTTGATTTTTCTTATAACACTCCCCCTTAGATGTCCATAGATAATGTACCTCGTTAAAACTTTATTAGAAAAAAAAAACCCTATTGGAAAAAAAAAATCCTAGTGAGGGAAAAAGAGTACACATATTTAGAAATACGCCTTTTGGTTGCCTCGTTAAAAATCTTGCAAGGAAAACCCAGTGGGACAAAACCTTGTAAGGAAAAAAGAGTACAACGCGTATTAACTCCCCCCTGATGAAAGCATCAATTCACATCTTTGAGCCTTCACATCCCAATCTTATACACTAGTTTCTTGAAGGTTGACGTCGGTAGAGATTTGGTGAACAAATCAGCCATATTATCACTTGAACGGATCTGTTGCACATTGATATCACCATTCTTTTGAAGATCATGTGTAAAAAATAACTTTGGTAAAATGTGCTTTGTCCTATCCCATTTTATGAATCCTCCCTTCAACTGGGATATGCATGCTGCATTGTCTTCATACAAAATTGTGGGTGGTTTGTCACACTTCAAACCATATTTGTTTCGAATAAGGTGTATTATAGACCTCAACCATACACATTCTCGACTTGCTTCATGAATAGCAATTATCTCATCATAATTAGATGAAGTAGTTACGATTGATTGCTTAGTCGATCTCCAAGATATGGCAGTGCTTCCATATGTAAAAACATAGCCTGTTTGAGATCGAACCTTTTGTGGGTCATATAAATATCCAGCATCGGCATAACCAACAAGATCGGGACTGCAATCATTTCCATAAAATAATCCCATACCGATAGTCCCTTTTAGATACCGCAATATGTGTTTGATTCCATTCCAATGTCTCCTTGTAGGAGCAGAGCTATATCTTGTTAAGACATTAACTGAAAAAGTTATGTCAGACCTTGTAATGTTAGAAAGATACATTAGTGCACCAATTGCACTAAGATATGGTACGTCGGGACCAAGAAGCTCTTCATTATTTTTATGAGGTCGGAATGGATGTGCTTTATCCATATAAAATCGCTTTAAAATCATTTTAGTGTATGTTGATTGATGGACAAAAATTCCATCTTTTATATACTCAATTTGTAGACCAAGACAAAATTTTATCTTTCCAAGATTTCATTACAAATTCTTTCTTTAGACAGTCTACTACTTTAGGAAGCTCTACTGCTTTAGGAAGCTCCCTAGGAGTTCCAATGATATTTAAATCATCAACATACTCGGTGATTATAACAAATTTAGATCCAGATCTTTTTATAAAGACACAAGGACAAATTGAATCATTCTTGTACCATTCTTTCAACATGTACTCACTTAGGCGATTATACCACATGTGCCCTAATTGTTTCAATCCGTATAAGAATTTTTGAAGCTTTATTTAATAAATTACTTGGAAACCTTAATATGCTTCAGAACAATTTAAATCCTTCAATGATTTCCATTATACGCATATCACGTTTTTCTTGTATTGCCAGATTAAAACCTGAAATGGCGACATCCACCACAGGAGAACATGTCTCTATATAATCAATGCCAGGATATTTGCAAATCTTCTTGTGACACAAGTCGTCTTTATGTCTATCGACTTGACCTTCTTTTTTTTTTTCGTACAAGAACACATTTATACCTCAACTGGCTTTATACTTTCAGGTGTTGGGACTATCCGTCCAATTTCATATTTTTCATGTGAAATCAATTTTCATTGCGTATTTTTTATTTGGCCAATTATTTATTTGTCCAAATTTCATGACAGATTTGAGCTCAAGATCCTCGTCAATATTAATAATATTGAGCG